TTTTCCTTTTGTTTTGCTTTGTTCATTTGTCTCTTTTAATTCTATTTTGTTGTACTTTTTCAACATGTTCAAAATAAAGATTCAATCAATCAATCAAGTAGCACACCCTCAATTTGGATATTAACTTTGGGATAGTGGAGATGGGTTGTTCCACATCAAATGCATATGTTTTTATTCAAAATACGTACATGCTGTGGAGAACAAGAAGAAAACATTATTTGTAAAGCACTTTAAAACGTTACAAAGTGCTACATGTTCAAGCATGAAGTCAAACATATTGTCATACATTAATTCCAACATGCACACTTTGAATTTTAAAGCATGGCCAAAAATAATGGGAGTGAGATCAAGGAAGACCTATCCTATAAAAATGAACAAGCTTCCAGCCAAACTTGTAGTCTGAGGAAACCCAAGTTTATGTGTTACAACCTCAAAAGTGTTGTCATTTCTGGATGTAAGATAAGAGACAGTAACAGTTAAAAGGCCCAGTCTGAAGGCCAAAGCAAGCCATCAAAGATTTCCTAAAAACAGGTAGCTTGTTATGGTCTTGGCAGTATCAGCCCCCCTATCCATCTGTCAGGATCCCCTCTTTCTGTCTTTTCCCTCCATACTTCTCTTTCCTCTCAGGTGGGTAAGTCCCGCTGTTCCTCTGGGACTGGCAATCTCCTCAGTCAAACGCCAACTGAGCTTCATGAAGCACACCTAACCATTTCCTCATCAAGCTTGCTGTGTATTTAACAATCCATTCTTCCACCAATTCCTTTCCAGGCTGTACAGCTACTCAGTGGCAACACAATGATCTAGTTAGACAAGTTTTTTTTATGCAATGTGTTCTTGCTTACCTTTTTGACTCACCTCTTCTCCTAGTTTTGCTCTCAGTGTGTTGTTTCTATATATCGCACTCATTTCCCCGTGTCTCAGTAGGTGGATTGGAAAAATTATCTTGTCAAAATATCTCTGCTCAGTACAATTAAAATTATGTCTGCAATAAAGCTTCTAAACCTGCCAACTGTCTCTGAGTCAAAATTTGCTAATTTGGGAATTTATGACACAACTTCTCAAATTTTGCCTGTTGTGAGATTATTAGATATGAGTCAAAAGGAGGCCTCATACTTACAGATGCTCCTTTTTTCTTAAGAAGTAAATTAAAAAATGTATG